ATTATTATTATTATTATTATTATTATTATTAAAAAGGATTTCAGGTACCCAAGAAAGGGATGAAAAGTGTCCTTAATTATGTTGTTGTAGTGTCCTGTGGGAGACATAGTGTTCAGTGACTAATGGAGTCATAGGTAACCAGAAGGGTTATAAGATACAAAAGTTTAATAAAGGTTCTGTGAGACCTTCATCTGTAAGGGAGCATATATATAAAAATACAAAGAAACATTACAAAGGCAAGCTAAAGTTGTGTAACTAATAAAGTATGGATACATTGTGAACTCCATCAACTAGAAGAGATACTGTATTCAGCCTGACTTTTAAATAAATGTATTGGTTTGTTTCAATAAGCAGCTGTCTGAAGTGATTTCAGAAGTGTATTTAAAATGCTACCATGATTAGAAGTCTTTTAGGTTTGGGACACATTAGATGGTGGGTGGGTGACTGTCAAAGAATGGTTGGTGCCAAGCTGGGGAGAAATTTGAAACCCAGAGTGCTGGAATCTAAAGAGAGTTATAGTACAGGAGACACTTAAGAGTCCCAGCTTCAAGTCTCACAGTGAAGGATTGGTGGGATAGTGACCAGCACCTTCACATAATTGGTGCCAGTGGTGGGATCAAAAAAGACCCATTGGGCTGCCATCCGAGAAAGTAGTTGGGTGGATGAGTCTCATTGTGTCACCAGCTTTTTTGAGGCTACAGCCCCTTTTGTTAGGCAGAGAACATTGAATCTCTCAAAAAAAGCTTCCATGCTTTTGCATTAGGAGATTTTAAAGCGTTATTTTGGTAAAACATGCTAAATGTAGCCCCAATTTTTTTAAAAAAAATGTTTCACCTTTGTTGGAGTTAGAAATCTCAAATAGTAAAGTCCCAGTCCAATGGCTCCCTCTTTAGAATCCTTTTGTTTGTGTACCTTCAAGTCATTTCTGACCTACAGCAGCCCTAACTTATCAACAGAGATTTTTTTTTGCCTTCCTCTAAGGCTAAGAGAATTTGACTTACCCACAGTTACCCAGTTGGTTTCCTTGGCCGAACGAGGATTTGAACCATGGTCTCCAGAGTCATAGTCCAACACTCAAACCACTACATCAGCAACATTTGTTTTTAAATGGAGTGGGGTTTGCAGCCTTCCAAGCTCGCCTGGAGGACTAATGTGCCCTCCTCAGCCTCTCACAACTTCCCACCCCATTATATG